GGTGAGGTCCGTCCCCCCACTCATAAAAAAATAGCACTTTACCCCTACCTATATGCCGTGAGCTGATCATGGAGCCTTCATTGTAACAGTCATTCAGATGCAATTAGCCTATATAAAAGGCCTCACTGAGACTGCCAAGGCACACNGGAAAATAAGTATTTGGTCATCTACAAACAAACAAGATTTTGGCTTCGTAAGAAGCATTTCAAGGTCCTGGAGTGGCCTAGCCAGTCTCCAGATCTCAACCCCATAGAAAATCTTTGGAGGAAGTTGAAGTTGAGATCTGGAGACTGGCTAGGCCACTCCAGGACCTTGAAATGCTTCTTACGAAGCCAAAATCTTGTTTGTTTGTAGATGACCAAATACTTATTTTCCACCATAATTTGCAAATAAATTCTTTAAAAATCAGACAATGTGTATTTCTGGATTATTATTTTTTTCTCATTTTGTCTCTCATAGTTGAGGTATACCTAGGATGAAAATTACAGGCCTCTCATCTTTTTAAGTGGGAGAACTTGCACAATTGGTGGCTGACTAAACACTTTTTTGCCCCACTGTATTTTTTAAACCTAGTAAATGTTTACTTTTGACTGGTACAGTATACAATCGCTGTTTTCTCTATATTCACATACTGAACAAAATCATGCTTCATAGCTCAGATCATCTGCCCTTAGATGGGAGGTGACCCAGAAGAATATTTCAAGCTGCAGAGCAAAGAGTATCGCAGATCCTTCATCTGCTACATGTTGTGTCCATCCATGGCCTTAGCATAATCCATAAGCTTGTTCTGTTTATAAATTATTCAAAAATGAATGAAAAATGAAATACTATTAAGTCAGTCTATTCATCATTAAAATATTACAATTAAAGTTACAGGTTATAATCGATTGTGACAGAATATTTACCGCTATGTCCATCAAAATGACAGACGACGACAAAGACCAATGCTTCTCTGTTTGTAAGTAATAGCTTTGTTTTGGTAGGGAGCCAGGGATTCTCCGGCCAAGGAGGCTTCTCAGACTTCCCCAACACTCCCGGCACCCCGACACTGGGAGAGTACTCCTCCTCCTCCGGACCTCCCCTCCCCTATCAGTCGGAGCAGGTCAGACTCCTTCTACTTCAACACCCCTCTCTGACACAACATACCGTATGTAGAAGCAAACACACATGCAGCATGTTCCTGTCCCTTTTCCTCGACATAGCCTTTGGCCACTGCTATGAGGATCACTGTCTTTTTTCTGTTCAGTTCACTCGCTGCCTTTTCCTTAATGGTCGAGTGGCCAACAATGACAAACAGAGTATGATTAGACCCCAGCCTGAAGGCACTGAGCTCCCCTCACATACAGACCCATGTGTGTGTGTGTGTGTGTGTGTGTGTGTGTGTGTGTGTTGCTGACCCAAATATTCACCAGAGCATCAAATGAGGATTAATCCAAAGCTGAAAAATATAATCCAAAAAATAAACAATTTCCTCCTTTTTGACACTATAAATGTGTGTTTACATCTTTAGCAGGAACCCATGGGCCAACACATTGTTGATGTGGGTCTTTCACCACACTAAATATGAATCATCGGAAAAGGCTGGAAATGTATGACAACAGGACACTGCTGCCTTAACACTTTCACAGAAAGACTGTGATCTAGTCTAGAGCAACGAGAGGATGCCAAGATATTCAAACTTAATTTGCTTATTTGTAAAACTGAATTATAAAGTTAAAAACAATCAGCAGATGTTCTACCTTGGGGAGGGACCCTCTACGTGTCATTCATCACATCCATTTAAACATCAGAGTCTCTACATTTAATACAAAGAACAACAGTATTACTACTTAGTTATTTCCAAACCCGTTCAGATGTTGCAGAAACACAGAATACACCAGAGTCAGGGACTTTCAGTCCTTCAGTACCTGGAGCTGTTCAGTTGAAAGGGGCTGATATTGTGCTGCTGTCACCAACACGGACTGTCTCGTCCTTCTGGCTTGTGAGTTTAGTTAAGAGCCTTTATCTAAACCTGAAGTAGACAGCATAGACTGAGAATATATTTGATTACATATCGAGCATCTACACCACATACCACCTGTCGCTGTCAGCTGTTCAGCTGTCTGCTGAAGGCTTTCAGAGAGAGAACAATGAAGACATCCTCCTTTACTGTCACACACTTCTGTTGTTCTAAAGAAAGAAACAAAAGGTTTCAATCCATCAAAAGCATAGTGTTTGAATTTAATGTGCCTAATAGCATCATCTTGTTGTTTTTTTTATTACCATAAATTAAAGATAGTCTTTTCGTCTCTTCCTTCTTTCTCTCTCAGACGTCTCATCCTGGACGAATGGAACACGGCCATAACATCCTGCAGCAGCACAGCTCAGGTGTCCATGGAAACCAGAGTCTCGGAGACGCCGGCAGTCCACTGTCGCAGCGGAACATCAACACCCAGAATTCCCGGCTGCAGAACGAAGGCCCCTTCGTTCTGGGAGGCCCTGGAGCCCCCGGGGGGGACGCGGCCGACCATGCACTAGACGTGAGTCGACCCAGTTGTTTAAGAGCACAAACTGGCCCTTTCCCAGGACTAAAATGTAGCTTTATTCTTCTGTAGGTTCAGGGCCAATATTGATCAGCTTGTATACTGCACGGAACATACATGTAATTAAACATGAGAACACTTAAGAGTTGCAATTCACCCTTCGACCTCCATATGAAAATACCTTTTTTACTCCCAAGTTGTCTCTTTAAAGCATTTTAAGCACAACAAAGAAAGTTTGTTTCCTTACTTTGGTTGCTAATTCTTTTTGCTAACATTTTAAATAATAATGAGATATTAATTCCTTAAGTACAGAGCACAATGGAGGAAACCTTGAGTAATTATGTGAACATTTTAAGGAAACCTTAAGTAGAAAATGTGACCTTTTATATTTTATGCAACATGTATATTTTAAGAAAACCTAAGCTCTGACTTAAGGGAAAACTTTCATTTGTCCTTAGCTTCTTCCTGAGCTGACCAACCCGGACGAGCTGCTGTCCTACCTGGGCCCCCCGGACCTTCCCAACAACAGCAGTGATGACCTGCTGTCTCTCTTTGAGAACAACTGACCCCCTCTAGTCATCTTCCAGCCTCTGCTTCCCACGGTGCTGTAGCCTGGCCCTCATTGGCTAAAGCCAGCACTGTCTCTATGGGTGCCCTCTTCTGTGTGTGAGTGTGCATGAATGTGTGAGTGTGTGAGAGTGTGTATATGATTGCGTTTTTGAGTATCTTTTTTTTTGTAAGTGTCCTGCTGTAAATTCATTCATTGCAGTATACAGGAACCGGAGGGAACATGCTTCACATGTGATCACTGTCTTTCATGAAGAATATAACAGTACAAACTGTAGGCACTGACTCTGCAGACCAGCATTTTAAACTATAGCACAAACCACAGGGTGAAGGATTTAAATATACAGTATTTAATTCATAGATTGTAATAGTTAGAAGTGGAGGATAATGGAAGATAGGGTGTGTTTATAAGGAGTTATAAGACGCATTAATACAGTGGTTCCCAAATGTTTCTGTCGCTATTTTGCACACATGCACATTCCTGGTAAATTACTTCGTAGCTCGACAACCGGATTTCAACTGTTTTCTTTGAGATGACAGTTTCCAGAGTTGTAAAATCCTTCCTCAATATATATTGAACAGCAGTAAACCCCTCCAACCCTCTACCGCGTTGGGGACCACTGCATTAAGGGATATTCTTTACTTTTCGTATTGTCAACGACTCCAATGTAAAGAACTAACATTATATGAATCCATCTTTCAATGCTAAATGACTTCCTGTCTGTGGTGCAGATCTTGAGAAACAGATCCTTAATTGTCAATGCAATTCAAGGACAGCAAAATCAGTAAAAACATCTATATTTTTATGTTTTAAAAAAAGCTAAGTTATTTCTTCAAACAGCTGGTAATCAAATACAATGCAGGAAATAAGGCATTTGTGAGGGACTATTTTCAGCAGTATTCGGGTGTTTTTGGACAACAATCGAGCTCTATGGCACATACCAAGGTGTATCGAGCTTTAATACACACACAATACTTGTTAGTAGATACCATTTCTGTTGATATGGGCTTTATTGACAATAAGGAAACACAGAGCATCACTAGACTTTGTTCACAATGATGTAAGATAAGGGCAGTGGTCACTTTTTTTTTTTCTTTGTGTTCAGTCCAATGGCAGAGTAAACGAAAAGATCCGAGGGGCCTCCTCACCTAAGGACAAACTAAGCCCAGCCTATGAAGGCGGGGCCCAGATGTAAAATAGACATTTTTTTAATTCATGAAGTTTGGGAGCAGGCTGAGGTTCATTGTATCTCTGACATCCTTCAGCACTGTGAAATATATTAAAGCTCCCATCTTTCCCTCGGTTTGTTTTCACCTTCCTATGAAGGGTTTTTCAAGCATCTGTAAATGAGTACAGCTGTGTGTCGTGGCATTTTCTGCCATTTGAAAGCTAGTATGTTTTAAAATGGTTTCACATGTATAACCCATCATGACACGGGTTTATGTACTGTATAATCAGCTGTTTTCATTAGAGAACGTGTGTGTATCAAATGAATTGTTAATCATGGTAATTGTAATGTTATTTAGTTGGATAATGGATCATTGTTGGCACTGTATACATACTGTATGTTAGAAGATTATAAAGCAATTGTAAAAAGGTCGTACTAATGCATGTATGACAGAAAACAGTCAGCTGACATTGAGTAATGCAGTTAAAGATGCAGAGGAAGAAATTATTCTTATTAACACTTTTTAAAGCTGATGTTTTTTTCTATGAATGATCTCACCCTTTGTGGTCCAACAAGGCAACAAGAACTAATGTTCATTGCCAATTGAGAAAGCCAATAATGTTATATTTGGAAACTGGACTATTTAACTGCAAATTTGCTAGACAAAATGTTTTTTTAATATGTAAACTATTCCACATTTTGTAACACATTGTAATTGCCATTATTTTCTATTTATTTTTTAATCATAATCGTCATTGTACCTACAGTTACCTTGTCCCTTTCCTGAATCTCAGAATCTGAATTAAAAATCACTTTATCTGACAAATTGTTTGTTTTGGAGGCTCTTATTTTTATAGTAGCCTTTGAAGTGGTTGTCATTTTTATTTATATCCAATACTGTTGCATAAAATGCTACTTCATATAACTGTGAGGTTCTTGTTCTTTACTTTTATTTCATCCCTATTATTTGCGAGGGACCTATTGCACCCTTTACATACATTTATTATCTATGATTATAGTTACTTTCAGATTGATATTTAACATTAAATGGCAAGGGAAAAAAAACTTCACATTTCATTTATGGTATTTTGCTAATAAGATTGTTGACATACATTTTCTTTTGAGACATTACATCATCCAAAAAACTACTTTAGAGTTGGATTATCACATTTTCTGTTTTAAAACAGGACTACCAAAGGGGTCATATCAAAAAGTATTAGGCCTACTTCAGGAACAGTCCCTAAAAGAGGAGCTGGGTTTTTACACGTGTTGCAAAAGAAGAAACAAACGGGGTCAACATGTTTTACAATTAATGAATTAACTGGACACACCTTTGCACACGGGTGCATTCAATTTGCTGATTTTCACCACAGAGGCCCATCTTTCTCCCCATCTCATGCAGCATCACACTAACCCCGCCCCTCTTCATTCCTATTGGTCCGTTCTGCAGTCTTTCAGCAGAAAAAGCTGTGATTGGCTGTAATCCTTTACGTCACTGGTGCACAAACCCGACCTAAATAGACAGTGTACTGGCGCTTCGATAGGGAGTAATTCAAGTGCGTATTTCCATCAACTCTATCACAAGCGTTCATCAAAATGATGAACCCCAAGGTTTTCTTCGACATCACTATTGATGGAGCTAACGCTGGGAGAATTATAATGGAGGTAAGAAAACAGACATTAATATTCGTCACTATCTTTAAAACTTCATTCTATTAAGGTTTAAATTGATGACAAGAAGCCTATACCTCTTGCATCCATATGTGTGCTTTGAAGTGCCTGGAGAAATGACTGACATTATTGTAGTGCGTCAACTTTTCTCATGCATCTTTTAGGATTCCATTTTGGTCTCAATTTGCATTTACACGCTGTATATATTTGTATAGCCCGTTGTTTGTTTTATTTATTGTCTTAGCACAGATCGCATCAATTACGTCATAAACAGTCCTCCAGAGAGACTATACATATCCTGAGGGAAACGCCCAGCAGCACAGCTGGGTGTAACAAATGGTGCTGCTGTGTGATCATGGGCAGATCAGGCAGATAAAGGGGGATGAATCTTCTCTGATGTGTCTTAAAAAAACACAATGTGAGTTGAACTGATAAGTGAAGTAGGCCTAATGTATTAATGGGTGGACCGAAAATCTACTCTTGTGAAAATCAACATATTGTTATTTAAAGTGACGTGCCAAACAGTCTCTGGTTTTAACCTCCTTAAATGTAAGAATATATTGCTTTGTCTTGTTATATGATCTGATATATTTATGGAATAATGCAAACATATTTAATAAAGTATTGCAACAAATGGTCAATGTTTGATGACGGTAGTTAAACAAAACGGTATTTGCCTGTAGTTGCTGTTGTTGTCAGACATGTTGAGCTTTCTTCGAGAGGTTTAGTTTATTTTCATTCTATGCATTTTGTGTTCAACGGCCACCCACTTATTTGAAACGGTTTGTGTTTTGCAGCTGCGAGCGGATGCGGTCCCAAAGACTGCAGGTATGTAAGATTTTAAAGGCACGCAGGAAGCTCTAACATCACTTCAAGCAGCAATAAACACTGCTCCTGCTTTTTCACACACCGAAAATGGATTTGTTTAGTTGGGGAAAGTACTGGTCCACATGAATCCACAGCTGTTTATTCTGAATATGGGTCGTGGACTCGTGGCTGTGGGTGATTCATAGTGTGACTGTATGAATCTGAAGAACCTACGTAGCTATTTATAGAGCTGAATGTGAGTGTAAACATTGATTCAAGAATGTATGCTACCAAGTGCTCTCACACTTCAAACATAAGGGGAAGAGGAAAGGGGAAATGACTCTTGTTTGCTGTAATTCGCATTGATTTGTTTTACCTCCTGGTGGATGATGGCAGCCTATTGGTTGCTCTGTCTCAACTCCCAACATGGAAACCTGCAGGATGCATTAATGACTAACCCATGTTGACCCGCATACTGTAGCCATTGTTTATTTGACCTCATTCATACAGAGAAATTGCCTATATGCTTCCTCTGTCATACAGTGCTGTTAAGTGACTCAAATGCACTTTAATGTTATATCTTCAAAAGCAGGATCCTGAGGGCCAGCTCCAGACATTTATTTTCCGCAAGGCCTTCTTAATGTCCAGAGGTCTGGGGGGGGGGGGTTATACTGTATGATGTATAGTGTGCTGTAGGATTCAGAATAATAATCAGGTGCAAAGTAGCATCAATGGATCTGCTGTGACAGGAAGCTTTGGAAAGGATTCAGATGTCCTCAAAGATATTATGCAAATTACTACTTAGAAAAACACTGACTAAAAAACACAAATCACCAGACAGAAAAAAAATGATCACAAAAATTACCATAAACAAACTAGAAGAGAGGCAAAGCAACCAAAAAGGGACTCTAACGACTACAAAGGGACACTAAACAACCGCAGAGAGACGCTACACAAACTAAAATACAGGAATGTGGTGTGTACTTACTGAAGTGTCTCCATTTCACAGAAAACTTCCGTGCTCTCTGCACTGGGGAGAAAGGCTTCGGTTACAAGGGCTCCACATTTCACCGCCTCATCCCAAAGTTCATGTGCCAGGTACAGTACAGGCCAGAAATGTGTCTTCTTTGTATTTTTAAAACGAGCTCAGATTCAACTCTTTTGACTGCTGAGTGAACTATTTATTTCAGGGGGGAGACTTCACTAACCACGATGGAACTGGAGGCAAATCCATCTACGGGGAGAAGTTTGGTGACGAGAACTTCCAGTTGAAGCATCAGGGCATGGGCACACTGTCCATGGCGAATGCTGGGCCGAACACCAACGGGTCCCAGTTCTTCATCTGCACGGACAAAACTGACTGGTGAGCTCCCCTCTCAGCCATGAGCTGCTGCATTCAGGTTTATTCAAACTGTTTCCCATGACCGTCTCGCATACTAATGAGCTTCACTCCTCTCAGGCTGAACGGGAAGCACGTGGTGTTTGGAAGTGTTGTGGAGGGCGTCGATGTTGTCAAGGCAATGGAGAAGCAAGGCACAAAGAGCGGCACTCCTAAGGTCAAGGTTGCCATTGCCGACTGCGGTCAATTCAATTAGTGCGTCAAGGCTCATTATGTTTTCCTTTTATCATCCACATCCCAGTTAATATTTGAGATGGTGAATATCAGAGAAAAACACTGAATTAATTCCCTTTCTCCACTAAAAATGTTTCTCTCCCGTGTTGTCTTGTTTAATATTTTGTACCTGCTTATCTGTTTAAGGAACACATTTGTTAAAGTCTGGATAAAATGATTCTAATGGTGAAAAATAAAAAGATATGTAAGGCTAACTTTGTTTGTCTTGTCATTATTATGAATGCTGTTCAACAGCAGCTGGGGTCACAAAGAAGTTCAGGGGGTTAAACAAATATTCTTTATTTAATTTCTGACAGTTTAGAAGTTTACCACAGTGCTTTCTGCCCCTTTTTCACAAACTGTACTGTAGAACATCTTGTTTAACATATTCAATAACAAAAATACTATTCAAAATGTAAACTTTATTTAAGTTTCCTGGGGCATTTGTGAAATTCTTCATACAAGTAGCAATATGTTGCGGTAATGAGAACTTGGGAGCATGTTTATATTTACATAACAAAGGACAATTCCATCCTAAAAATGTGTATTATTCAAGTAAAGTAGGGATAGAAACTATGTGAAATGTTCATGATATGTTTTTATATTAAGCATATGTCAGTGCTCCCTGAGTGCAGTACAGCTGATGAACTGTTCTGCTCAGAGCTGGACCCAGGTTCCTGAAAAACAGAGAAAATTAAATGTGAATTAATTGCCACTGAATAAAGTATTTAGCATGTTTTTCTTTCAGTTTCATCAATTTGTATCTGAACCGTAAGTAAAGCCACAGTAGTTTCAACTTGTTATCAACAAATACTACATGGATCATTAGAGCATGCTGGGAAAATGTGAATCCAGTTGGACGACAAACCTTTTGAGCTTCCCATATCTGATGGAGGAGAGGAGCTTCTCTTTCTCTGCTTCACCTGCACATCGTTCATAGGCTGTCAGAATGATAAGTGGGGCAGAAAGATTTGAAATAAATATCAACAATCTCCTACAGTAGTATTGTAATCGGGAATATAAATGAGTTTGTAAAAAAATGTATGTATACCTTTTACTTTTCAACCTTGTGTTTAATTACCTTAAACAAAACTCATGAAAAACTCACCTTTTTGACAGAATTTGTTCAGAAATCTCAATGAAGTTTTTGTATCTTATTCTATATTTTAACATATTTTTCTTATTCCTTCAACTTACCTTCCCCATTTTGTCTATTGAATTATTGTATTGGGTTTTTGAGAAATAAAGCCTTTGAATCCTTTGAAATGTCATCTTTTTGCAACTATATCTGCTAGTGCTAACTGCCTCATTCTTTATATATACTCCCTCCTCCTTTGTTTTTCCCTTGATCCCCTGCTGCATTCTTCTACAAGGAAATTAAAAAGTATGTAACTTGAGAAGTCACAAATTAGAGGTTAGCAATGACAAATAGGTTGGAAAAAAGGTATAATGTCTCAAGGGATTTATAAATGTGTGTTTTCCTAAAGCATTTTGTGTTAGCAAAAAGAAAATGCCATTTAACTTCTATTAAACAAGTGGGTAGCTTCATTTTTGTTTTGTTTTTTGCACATGATTGACTGATAAGTGATCATGTATTTGGTTGAATAATTTTGACCAGGAACACACTCACTTCATAGGAACACATCTCCAAATATGTATCTGCTTTGAGATGTTATTATTGGGATTTCCCCACCATGAAATGGTGTCTTTACACAGTGAGATGAACACACACACACACACACACTCCATCTGGATCCAGGCTGTTGTTGTCCTGTCGACCAGGAGGGGACGCTCCTTCAAGAGGTCTGGACCTACAGTAAAAGTAAAGGTAGCAAACAAAGACAAATTAGAAAGTAAAATGATTCACTTTAACACATTTTAAGACCATTTTGTTTTTAAGATCCAAGAAAAATTCTCATGCTATATAATTTAAAGCGTTTTAGACTTTTTTTTTTTTTACAGACACAAAATGCTTTTGTGATACATTATATTGAAGCTTTAAGTAAGTATTTGTTTCCTAGCCTTTCCTTTCTGTAATACTCTTAGTAGTGCAGAGGAGCTATAATTACATTTTTATGTCAAATAAATCTACTGTACCCATCTATTCTCTTATAGTTTTTTTTATATGTTCTTGTATTTTTCTCCATTAAGCTTTTCTTGATGCTCATGTTGTATTTCATGTAGTTTTTATACGCATGGTTATAATTTTAATTTGTATTCCATTCATTGTAAAATTGTCCCCAGTTTCACTAGTTTCCCCTTCTTATAGTTTCATCCCTTTCTCAATGCAGGCATCAATGATTTTCTTAAATCATCTTGTCCTATATCTATAAGTGAATGAATACAATCGTGAACCCATCCATTCCTCTGTTTCTCACTGTTCTCTCTGAGGTATCGCTGCAGTTTCTAATCCAGTATTTTACAGATGCCGTCTCCGAAGCTCTGCAGGATTTTAGCCTCTTTGGCGTTTTGAAGTGGCAATGGATACTTATTCAAAGAGCTGATGGCCTGCGAACAAGATAGAAGCAAACATGAATTAAAAAGAAACAAACATCAGTGACTTTAAAGCAGTAACTCTACATTTGTTGTGTACAGTCATCTTGTACCTGGGGTTTTTATAGGCTGCACAAATAGCTGACTGAAAGACAATCTTGGAGCATAAGTATGAAAGTAGAATATAATGTGTGTTATCCTATGACTTTAACAATCGAGACAGCTTTATATTTAAAAGTCTCGAAAAATAACTTATTATACAGCATATGCAAACCACAGATCATTATATGAAGAAATTGACTTTAGTCTCTTTAGTATATATATTTTTAATTTATGACTATTTCATGTTTTCAAGGTTGCTAACTATTTGCCATATCAGTGCAGGACTTATTTTATGAAGATCTGTTTCTTCTTTCCACTAATTATATGTCTATATGTATATATATCTATATATATATAGATATATATATATATCTATATATATATATATATAAATATATATATATAGATATGTACATAACATTTGAATGCATCAGAAATTTAAAAAATAAATATTAATAGTAATTAGTGCGAATGCTGTGCAACGTCTTCAACTTCTTCTACTAAATGCTTCAGTAATTAACAATTACAGGCACATATCAAACCTGCCATTTCTAGGTAAAATCATTGAAAAAGTTGTTTTTCAACAGTTGAGTAATTTCTTGAATTTAAATAACTGTTTTGATGTGTTCCAGTCAGGCTTTCGTCCAAACCACAGCACTGAGTGAGACTGCTCTTGTTAAGGTCTTCAATGACATCCACTTAAACACAGACAGTGGCAGAACTTCAGTGTTAGTATTATTAGATCTCAGTGCTGCGTTTGACACTGTTGACCACAACATATTACTAGACAGAGTAGAAAACTGGGTGGGACTTTCGGCAACAGTTCTAAATTGGTTTGAATCCAACTTAAAGGACAGAAAAACGTTGTTTCTTTAGGTAAATACACATCTGAGTTGACAAATCTGACATGTGGGGTTCCTCAAAGCTCCATCCTGGGGCCTCTTCTCTTTAACGTCTACATCAGTGGTCACCAACCTTTTTAAGCCCAAGATCACGACCTCGGCCTAGGTGAAAGGCGAGATCTACCTATTGCAGAATTTAATGAAAAAGACGGCACAGACAGTGCTTCCAATTTGAGGCCTTTTATATAGGCTAATTGCATCTGAATGACTGTTACAATGAAGGCTCCATGATCAGCTCACGGCATATAGGTAGGGGTAAAGTGCTATTTGTTTATGAGTGAGGGGTGGACCTCACCTCCTCTAGGGGGGTCCTCACCTCCTCTAGGTCCTCACCTCCTTTAGGGGGGTCTGGGGGGATGCTCCCCCGGGAAGATTTTTTTTTAATATTGAAGTTAATTGAACTTATTAACCGATAGATTAAAATGTGCCGGCTTTTGTAACGAACCCTGCTGGCTATTAACCGATAGGTCATAGGCAGCTGGTTCACCAAGAGTGGGGGATATGTGAAACACATTTGAAACTGATGACTCAGACAAAAGGTTGGGAAATAAGCTTTCATTTTTATTTCCTTTCACACTCCCCCCAAACCGTCATGCTTCTTCGGCGCGCTCTCTCGTGGAGCAGACGACGAACGGGAGTACCTCCTCACGTCCCCTTTGACCCCCCCCTCTCCACTGGTGGGGGAGGCGGAGGCACGGGACGGTGCCCCTGCTGCCGCGCCGACGACGAGTCTACGCCTCGCTGCGGTTGCCTGTGAGCGTCTCTCTGCCTGTCGCTGTTGGCCTTGGGTTGGCCGCTGCTGCTGCCGCTGGTGCCGCTGGAGGCTTCGCCGGCCGGGCTCTGAGCCAGCCAACGTGCTGGCGGATATATTCATCCGCCCTGCTCCGCTTGCCGCCTTCATGGACTCTACCATGGCCTAAAAACTTGGGGTCCGAACAGGCCCATCGCGGGCTGATCGGCAGGCATCCAGCACAGACCTTCCTGGCCGGCTCTGTAACAGGCCGCCTGTTGGCAGCAAGAGGTGCGCTGGATCTGCGTCATCCACGCTGCGATCCTCGCCTGGGAGACAGCCCACGGATGGTGCGCACAGCGTGAGTGCCGTTGCTGGCCGCCTTGCTGATCTCCTCCGCCTCCTCTTGGAGGCCACGGTGTGGTGGGACCGCCTTCACCAGCGTAACCACCGAGTTGGCCAAGCAACGCGAGTTATTTTGCCGGCCGCAGCGCGCTGAACCGCCACATTGGGTTGCGCCCGCGGTTCAGGCCTGGCGGCGCGACGTTACTGGTCTTTGGGCGAGGCAAACGTAAGGCGCCGTTCCGGCCGTCAATTGGTGGCTCTGCCCTAAACCCTATTTTAGGGGCAATGGGATGGTCCACTCTCGGGGGAGGACGACCGGACAGTGGGTGCCGGTTAGGCAAAGAGGTGGATCAGACCTAATGTTAGACCCTATTACAGGCAATTGGACGGTCCTCTCCCGGGAGACGACCGACAGTGGTGCGGTTAGCCAAGTGACAGGACCATGTTAGACCTATTTACAGGCAAATGGACGGTCCGACTCCGGGAGACGACCGACAGTGGTGCGGTTAGCCAAAGCTGACAGACTTAATGTTTAGACCTTATTTACAGGCAATGGACGTCCACTCTCGGGCGAGAGAGACCTCCAGCATGTGTCCCTGAAATGGAGACTCTGTTTTATTCACGTCATCCAGGACAGAGGACGGGTGAAATCTCCTCTATTGTGGCCGCCCTCCAAGACTCCCCACAAAAGGACGGACTAAAGGACCTCCAGCATGTGTCCCTGAAATGGGGACTCTGTTTATTTCACCCTTCCAGGGAGAGACGACGGGTAAATCCCCTCTCTTTGCCGGCTCACAGAGCCCTGAAGGACGGACTAGAGACCTTCCAGCATGTGTCCCTGAAATGTTGCGACTCAGGTTATTTCACACATCCCAGGTCAGAGACCGGGGAAATCAACCTCTCTGTGGCCCCTCTTCCAAGACCCCCCAGAAGGGACCGGACCACAGGACCTCCAGCATGTGTCCCTGGACATGGGCACCCTCCATAACCTTGCACACCCCTGAGTCCCCGGACTCCCGGACTTAAGCCATCCCCCCCGGACTAACCCAGTATGGTATCACACCCTTCAGAACCTCATGCCGCCTGGTAAACCTAAAAGGGGGGGTGGATTTTTGCGGTGCTTTACCGTCCGGGCCCATCGGGGCATCCATATTCGGCCTTATTCACGGCCACCACCACCCCTTCTGTTGAGCGAGTATTATCATGGCTCCTGTTAACCCTTTAAATAGTCTGATACTATCAAGTGCCTCATCACCGCACTTTTACAAGCCAGAACAATAATGTGCGTTAAATGTCGGGGAAAGTGGTTTTTAAAACGTCTGGAGAGCAGTTGTAGCCTTGCCATTTTGCACGATATCATTTAAACATTGAACATCTCCGGAAATGCCACAGAATATGCTCCATTTTCCATGGAGAGATTCCATGTTAATATGCATATCGTGCAAAATGGACAGGCTATAACCCAGGAACAAGGGTGCAAAGGGGGAGGGCCGAAAAGTTGTTAAAAATAGTCGGAAAAGTGTTTTGTTAAACGTCTGGAAGAGAGTTGTAGCCGTGTCATTTTGCCACGATATCATCTTTACATTGCATTCATCTCCTGGAAATGCACAGAATATGCTCCATTTCCAGGGAGAGATTCCGCGCATTGCTTAAATGAATGTTCCTGCCAAAATGACAGGCTAAAACACCCAGTGGATACGTGTTTGAAAGGGCAGGGAAAGTTGTTAA